AAGGTATATAAATATTAAAAGGAACTGCATTTTTTTTTCCAATTAATAATAAGGACTGATAAAATCTTTTTTTTTTAGTTAATGGATTGGATTACTCAACAAACTCCCGATGGTGATATTTTTTATTATAATACAAAGACAGGTGAATCATCTTGGGAATTACCAATCGATGATAATGAATCTTATTCAACAACAATTACAACGATTGGTAATAGTGATTCAAAACCATTACCAAACAATTGGGTACAACAGCTAACAGTAGATGGAAGTTGTTACTATTATAATGTCATAACTAAGGAGATTAAAATGACTCATCCTGGAAATGGTACTATGAATGCTACTTCTAGTAATTCCGAAACTAGTGAGTACAAGGATGATGATGAAATTGAATTACAAGAAAATGATTTAGAAACTGTCAAAACTGAGGATAAAGCGAATGGTATTAATTCTAAAGAAGGGCAACTAATTAATGACACTATTCAGCAAATCTCTCAGCAAAGAAGATCAATTGAAAATGTAAGCTATCAATTTTTTTGGTTTTTTTTGGTTTTTTTTTTATAAAAAAAAAATTCTATATATATTTAAATCTAATGTATAAATTATTTTTATTTAGCTTTCACTCATTTGGACTCAAAAAATTACAGCCGAAGGTAGGTTGTATTATTATAATAAATTAACGGGTGAGACAACCTGGAATTTTGATGATATCAATGCTGATGGTCAATTAGTAAGTAACCAATTCTTTTAGTAAATATTAACTATAGATAAAAAAAAAAACAACTTAATAAGATTTATTTTTTTATTTAGATGAAAGTTGGAGATGAAATTTTATCTAACGGAGGTGAATTAGGCGATGAAGATCTGCATGAAACATTATCCCAAACTCCTACATTAGCTATGTACTCTCAACCAAGAAATTTTTCGGAATATTCAATGTCCCAAAATGCTAATGAACAAGTTACTTGGGATTCTTTGTTACAGAGTATTATCGTAGCTATTGACAATCTTAACTTAGCCGTTTTAGAGAATTTGAAACAAAATTACACGAGTCATACCAATGCTATCGTTGAAAGTGTAAGGATTATGCTTTATGCATCTGGAACTATTGAAAAAGATTCACCTGCAATTATGCAAAATAAGAATTTAAAGGTTTATCATAGGCATATAATGGCTTCACTTTCAAAATTAGTTCTTACAACAAAAGCAGCTTCAGATGTATGGCCTCCACCAGATTCCGCTCAAAAATTGAAAAACGATGCTTATGAAGTTTTAGTTGCGGTTCGACAATTTGTTCAAGCTTCTGAACCTATTGTAGATATTAGAAGAGTTGATCCAAAAATATTGGAAAGCACTTCAGGTGGTTCATGGCGTAGTAATAGTAACCTAATACAAATACAAACAAATGGGATTAATGAAACTAAAAGTCAAATACCAAATCCACCTTCAAATTCATCAAGTGTAAGTTCACAAGACAACAATAGCATTCCAAACTCTCCTACACATTTGTCTAGTCAATCACGTTCTTTATCGACTGATCTTATTGCTTCATTGGATCAAACTTCTCGCACTATAACCCAAACTATTGTATCACTTCTTAATCATGTTAATAAAATAATTGATACTCCTCAATCCAGTTCAAATATCTCTTTTGCATCCCAACTAATTTCACAAACTAAACAAGTCGTCACTCAAGTTGGACAATTTTTATCTCATATCGAAGATATAGATTTGGATGATTTGAATGAATCTAGTTTAGATACAATTCACGAATTTAAAATATCCAAACAATCGACATATAACAGCATAGCTGGATTAGTTATTTGTATTCAATCAGCAACTGACCCGTTAGCTTCACTTAATGTTATGGACCAAGTTTTAATGGCTACAAATAAGGTAGATAAAGCCGTAGCGGATGTTATTATTGCTACAAAATTTCTTGTTGAAGAAAAGGAAGCTCAAGAACAAATTGACATTCAAGCTATGCGTCCAAGACGACCTAGCACTGTCGAAGTTCCACCAACAAAGAGACGTATTACCTCAAATTCTAATTCTCTTGATCACATTGTTGAAAATGACTTGACAACAACAGATCAATCTATGACTCCTAATGCAGCTCAAACAGCCTCTTCAACAGCGGGCTTACAAACCGTTCCTGAAGACGATATTATAACAAATGATGGTGATTCAACAATAGTTGATTTAGCTTCTGACGATCATGATGTACCAATGTCACCCATTTCAGCTAGTGAAGGCTGCCGTCAACGTTCTGATAGTTCAGTTAGTTCCTCAACTTATAATAATGATGTATCATTTAAAACTCATTCTCGTTCAAACTCTCAGTTTGCTTCTACATCAACTGATTATCCATATTCTTCATCTCCTCCACTAACGATAGAAAGTTTGAATGGAACTATATCTCCACGTAGTGAAAATAAAGTTAAAAAATTCTTTGGCGAAATAGTCCCTCATCCACATAAACAAAAAGAAGATAAACCTTGGTTCCTTAATTATGATTTTGATCAATCAGAAATGATATTTAATATGGAAGGTTATGTCAAAGGAGGAACTCTTAATGCTCTTGTAGAAAGATTAACCATGCATGATATATTAGATTCAAATTTTATTGCTACATTTTTATTGACATATAGATCTTTTTGTACAACAGATGAATTCTTTGATAAGTTGGTTAAAAGGTTTATGATTAAATCACCTGATAATTTGACTCCTTATGAATTAGAAATTTGGCAAGAAAAGAAGCAAACGCCTATTAGAATAAGAGTTTTTAATATCATGAAAACTTGGTTAGAATACTATTATATAGATGGTGAGGATTACCATTGCTTAGAAAGAATGAGCGAGTTTGCAAAAACAACGATGAACGAAAAAATGTCATTTGCTGCGAAGGGCTTAATGAAATTAATTGAGAAACGAAAATGTAAAGATGCTAAATTTAAGGAGTTGGTAATAACAAATTCCGACAGGCCACCGGCATCAATTTTACCCAAGAACATCAAGAAACTCAAATTCTCGGAATTAGATCCTTTGGAAATTGCTAGACAACTAACTATAATAGAAAGTAAATTGTATAACAAAATTTTACCTGTTGAGTGCCTAAATAAGGCTTGGAGTAAGGACGAAGGTGATGACGCAGCAGTAAACATTAAGGCCATGATTGTGAACAGTAATCAAGTAAGCCTTAGTATTTTTTGGTGATTTGTCAGTTTAATGATCGAAAATTGTTTAAAATAAATTGATTAAAAAAATAATTATTAATTAGATAACGGGATGGGTAGCCGAATCAGTTTTAAATCAATCAGAGATTAAAAAAAGATGTTTATGTATTAAACAGTTTGTAGCTGTAGCTGATAAGTGTAAAACTTTGAATAATTTCAATTCGCTTACAGCTATTATTTCTGGATTAAATTCTGCGCCAATTCATCGTCTGAAGCGCACTTGGGAATTGGTAAATGCAAAAACTATACAGACACTCGACAGTCTTAATAAGATTATGAATTCTACAAAAAATTTTGCCGAATATCGAGAGTTACTACATAGCGCAAATCCACCGTGTGTACCATTTTTAGGTAAATAAAAGACTATCCTTTCTATAAAATTTTCTCTTTTAAATTTTATACTTTAAAAAAGAAAAATTTTTTTATTTTATTTAAAATAGGTGTATATTTGACTGATCTTACATTCATCGAAGATGGTAATCCCAACAATCTTAAAAAATCTCGATTGATTAATTTCTCAAAACGCATGAAGACAGCAGAAGTGATACGTGAAATTCAACAGTATCAATCTGCACCTTATAATCTTAATCCAGTACAAGAAATACAAACCTTTATACAGTGTCATTTGCAGGATAGTCGAGATGTTGCAGATTTGTATGAACTAAGCCTTAGCATGGAGCCAAGGTAATTAGTAATAATTGCGAAATTTTTAATCTTTTTTATTTTGGTTTTTTATGTAAGAAAGAAAAGAAATTTTATTCAACAGTATGGAGCAACGCTATTGTTATGGTTATTCAAATTTCTATCAGATTATTTTTAGAAATAATGGGATTTATTATTTGACTCAAAAAATTCGACCATTTTGATTATATCATAAAAATTTAGGGAGCGTGAAGATGAAAAAATTGCCCGCTTATTACAAGAATCTGGTTTTCTATAATCAATTTATTCCATCTTTATTTATTAAGTCGAAAGAAATCGAAAAGTCGAGATCTCTTAGGAGAGAATAATTTACGACGTTCTATGAACTGATAAAGTAATGGGGTTTAATTATTTTATATGTAGCCTATTTTCTTTTAATTCTCGAGATCGAAAAAAAAATTTTTTTTTCATAGTTAATAGGCAAATTTGCAAACTTTTATACTTTTATGTAAGTAAAATTATTGTATATTTTTTCCTTTCCTTTCCTTTTTTTTTTTTTTTTTTTTTTAAAAAGCATATACATATATTATAGCATTACATCATTATCAAAAGAATTTTTTTAATATTATTTAATTAGATAATCTTATTTTAATAATAAATTAAAACTTTAAAAACGTGAAAGATCCGTTAAATTTATTAGAGGTTTTTTTTTTTGATTAACGAAAATTTAATTATAAATCCAACTTTTATACAATAAAAAAAAAAAAATCTAAATATTATTTATTTAAAAATAATTATATATATATGAGAGTTACTTATATACTATCTAAAAAAAAAAAAATTATCTTTAAAAATTTATTAAGAATTTATTAATTTACTTTATACATTATTATAAATATCTTAATAGTTATTTTAATAAGTTTATAAAGTTTTGTAACATTAAAAATTATTTTTATCTAAAAAAATAAAATAAATTATTATCTTAGATATTATCTAAAATATTTTTTTTTTAATATTTTATTTATATGATTTTATTAGTAAATAATCTTTATTATAAATCTTTAATATGATATGTAACAAATATAATTTTTTAAATATAAATATTTTAATATTAATTTTAATATTATTTAATCAATTCTCTTTAAATACATCACTATATATTTTTTTATTAACTCATTCTTGTATATAGAAATTATATAAAATTTTTCATTTTAGTTCAAGAGAAATATATTTAAAGAAAATTAATTATATACAAATTCTAATTTATTTTTTTTTTATTAAATTTTATTTTTAATTTTAATTTTTTAACTTTTAATTTTTATTTTTAAAATAATTAATTAATAAAATCTAGTTAAATTCTTACATAATATCCATTTACTATAAGCTCATATCTTCACTTTTTGTTTTAAATTATACTATATTTACTAAGAATTTACATAATAATTTTATATTAATTTTATAAATAATAAATAATTTAAATAGATTTATAATTATTAAAAATAAAATTATTTATAATATAATCTTTACATAAAATATATTTAGATTAATAAAGTTTTTAAAAAAAAAAGATTTTTAAAAAATAAAAAAATATAATAATAATTAAATAAATATAATAAAATTTTTATAATATAAATTGAATTTATTAAATTATTTAAAATTATTATTATAATTAAAATCAAGTAATAATATATAATAAATAAATATTATAGTATTATAATACTAATTTTATTACTTTTTCTTATTTACATCTTATGTAAAATTTAATTTTATTAATTATTATTAAAAATCTAATAGGATTTTACTTTAAAAATAGATAATAATTATATTATAAATCTAAAAATTAAATCTGATTTTTGATTTTTAATAATAGTTTGATTAACTAATATTTTTAATATATAATATAGTCTATTATTATCATAATATTAATTAATATTAATCAATTTAAAATTATCTAATCTTTTAATTATTAATTAATTACTTTTTTACTATTGTAATAATCTCTATTATTTAATAATATAAAATAATATCTATTATAAATCTATTAGTAAAAATTTATGATTTTTCCTAATTTATAATTTTATTTACATTTTTATATTATTAATTTAAGTAACAAAATTAAATATTTATTTCTTAAACTGTAAAGTAAACAAATTTGCTTAAAAGTTTAAAATAAGTATTAATTTTTTAATAAATTATAAAATATAATTTTAGTTTAGTAATATAAAAATATAGTTTAATATATATTTTATTAACAATATTTTATATTTATTAAAAATTTTTTAAAATAATTCAATTTTAAATTAAGTTTTAAAAAATTTCTTTAAAATTTATATATTTACAAATTAATTAATTTATTTTACTAATATACTATTTTCTTTTAAAAATAAGCATTATGTGATACTCTTTTTATAGTAATTTATTTATTTATAATATAATAAATATATATATATTATGTAATGCTTATTTTCAGAATAATACAGTAAAATTTTATAACATATTATAATAATTATACTAATTAAATTCTTTATGATAAATTTTATAATATTATTATAATTAATATTATTAAAATAAGTAACTTTAAATTTCTTATTATATATTTAAAAAATAAAAATATTATAAATAATAATAAATTCTAAAATTAATTTTAAAAAAAATATTTTAAAAAATTTTAATTTTTTATAAAAATAAATATAAATTTATTTACAAAATTTTATTAATTAAAAAATATTATAAAATATTATTAATGTATAAATTTTTAAATTGCAATTATAAATCAAATATCTTTAAATTAAATAGATATATAAATTTTAAAATAAAAATCTCTTTTATACATAAGAAGTTATTATTAGTAACAAAGATATATTATATGAATTTTTATTAGAGACAATATTTAGCAATTATAATTTTAATAAAGTTTTTATTATATATTTTATATATTACCAGAATTAGTTCTAAATTCTATTATTCAATATCTTAATATATAGAAGGTAAACAAAAATATCTGCACACCTTTCATAAAATATAAATTAATATTAGTAAAGTTATATTACTGTAATAATAAATCATGCTTATATGATACTTAAGTATTTGATAAAAAATTATAAAAATTAATTAGATTTTTTATATTAATTAATTCTTCTATTAAAAAATAATAAAAATAATTTCTTTAGCTTCTTGCAAAAATTTGCATTAGAATTTAGTCTTACTATTTAACAAATTTTATTATCTAACAAAAAAATATCATCATTATTTAATTTTTTAACATCTATATATCTATATAATTAGTTATAGATAAAAGATTATCAAATAATAATTTGCTCATTGTATCTTCTAAATATTTTTAAATTTTTTAATTAATTTAATAATAATATCATCATTTTTTTTATCTAATTTATCATGTTCAGATAAAAAAATTTCAGTTTTCTAGTTTTAATTATAATAAATTCAATTTTGTATATAATATTTTATTAAGATTGGTTTAATATTCATTAAATAATAGTTATTTTTATAACTGTATTAATTTTAGGATTTTTTTTTTGAATATTTATTTGTATAATTTATTAAATATTATATCAATACAAATGTATATTTGCAAAATTACTATACTTTATAAAAAAAAGAATTAAATAAAATATTTAAAAGTTATTATTTTATTTTATTATAATTAATTTTTTTAAATAAATTTTAAAAATAATTTTTTTTGAATTTTATTATATTTTAAGATTACACAAAGTAATAATTTATAAAATAATCAAAAGTTACAATTATTGTTTTTATGCAAATTTTAATAATTTTTTTTTCAAATGTGTATTTAATTATAATAATTAATAAAAAATTAAAAAATTTTATTAATAATAAAATTTATTTTGAATTTATAAAAAATATATAAACCAATATTTTATTTTTTCTACTCACCTGTTTTATTCTATTTTTATTTTATGCTTTTAACTTATTTATATATTCTTATAAATTACTGAATTATATAATCTATTTATATTATACCTAATTATCTAAAAATACTATATTATTTTTATTTATTTTATTTGTATATTTTTGATTTTTTATATATTTTTAAATAAATATTATTTAAATGATAATTTTAATATATTGCCTATATATATAATTTGATTGGTTAATCTATCAAGTTAGGTTTATTTAATCTGATTTGATTTGATCTAAAAAGAAAAATTTTTCTTATTTAACTATTAATTAATATTAAAAATTTATTAATTTATAAGGAATTGGCGTCCCTAGTTCAGTTGGTAACAACTGAGCTCCTATTGTGGATTACACTGCAATAGCCACAGGTTCAAGTCT